TAATGGTGATGTGATGATGATGAATTTTACTAAAAGTGTCATTTCTGGCCATCTAGAGGTACTATTTCCTCAAATTTTCTCACCTCAGCTCCAACCATTGTGGGGCTTGGGTGGGTGTCGACTTACAAAATGCCCTCCCCCTCCACCTTTCAAAACAGATCTGTGCCCTTCCCTGGGTATGACAGTAAACTCCATCGAGTCGGCTCCTGATGTATGTCTTAGTGACTGCTGTTTGTTTTTAGGATGTGATCTGGTTTTTCATGTCCATTTTCCGTGATTATGACTATTCTGGATAAAGAATGTTTTGAGCAGAGGTGGATTCAAGACACCCCCCTTCATTTTTTTAAGGAAAAAAAAAGGAAAAATATATTCAAATTGAAGTGCGAGAGTGTAATTTCCGGCCATCTAGAGATGCCCTAATCATAAATTTTCTTGCCTCAGCCCCAACCATGGTGGGGCTGAGGTGGGTGGTTCCTCGGTCTGTGAAAGTCCCTCCCTGGTTCACCTCTCTTTCGGATTTCTTGGATCTGCCAATGTTGATTCATTATACTAGTGTATAATTATTTTTTCGCTTATTTATAATGCGTCTATTGCAATTTTCACTTTATCCTCTCAAACAGTCCCAAGAACGTTCAGAGTGCGCTACTTCACAGGGGGATTCGTCCCCCTTGACCCCGCCGGGGTCATACGTAATTCGCATAACGGCTCCCCCCCCCCTTTCAAAATCCTAGCTACGTCCCTGTCTGAAATACAAGACAGTACAGTATTATTTTTTGTTCGTCTTTGATCCTCCTGGTTAAAATAATTTAAAATGTTATTCAAAGACCATTGCTGCGACTATAATTTGATATCTGCTTCTGTTGTGTTGTGTTGTGTTGTCTTGTTGGTCTCTGAAAGATGTTTCATATCAGTCTGTCGCCCTCTATCATAATGTTAAAACTTGAACAGACTCATTTTCAATATATGATAATTAATATTCATAATCGAGAGATGGAGCTAATAATTGATGCATGTGTTATTACAAGAAGTCATTGCATTGGAATTGTACTTGATTTTAAGACTTTTTTTAAAACAAGCGCCTGGTTTCGCCTTATTTGTCATAAGTTCATTAAATACTTCCAAGTAATACTAATTTTGTACATATTATGCAACAATATTTATTCCAAAAAATACAATATATATAAACAGAACATTAGTGCTATTAATCAACGTGCTTATCTTACAAATTCCTCATGATATATTCGTATAGCAATTGAAAAAAATGATTGTGCCTGTCTTTTCATATGTACGAATAATTCCGCCTGATCTGCATCATGTTGCTGCTTAGATGTACCGGTATGTGTTTGTATGTGTGTTTGGAAAGGGTGGGTGGGGGTGCGTGCGTTATGGTTGTAAACAAGACAGAACTCAAAGTGGATAGACGTACAAGAGAGATGTTTTAACAAATAATATATTGATACTGAAATAATAACATAGGGCAGGAATCTATGAGTTTAATGGGGCTGCATACAAATTACATGAAATTAATTAAGTACAAAATCATAATTGCGCCAGAAATAATCATCAAGGTGCTTTAGGGGGGAAAACATGACCAAAAACCAAGAAATTTAAAATACAATCCAATTGTAGCTTTAATTATACGGACATTACAATACAATGAGAATAAAATATATTTTAACCTTGGAGAAACTGTGAATTTAAAATGCGCAATTACGTGATACGCGTTCGTCTGTTCGTGTAAGCTATGCGGGCGGTCAGATTGGTGTCTAGTCTCTAAATAGACCAATTCAACTGCTGTTATTATGTCCTTCCTACCGTGTACCAGGCTGTGCGATACAGCTCATGTTCTTGAATGTGGCTGTTGAGGCGTAACACGCCTTTCATAACGTTACAAAGGAGTCTGAAATTTTAGTTGTTCGTATCCTTGACGATCTAAAACAGTATGACGTCATTTGTTGTAAATGATACTATACCACAAATCGTGAATTTATTTATACCTCCATGATTTAAGCAAGTTGTTTATAACAATTTAAAATATACTGCTACGAAAAATATCGAAAAACGTAAATTTAACTTTGAAAAACCACTTAGGCCTAATAATTATCACATACTATTTGTAATAGTGGTGGCTCTGGAAATTTCTGACAGGGGTTCAATTGGCCTAAGTCCGACAGGCGGCCGGTCCGAACCTAAAGGCCGAAAAGAGCCTCTGTCATAGTCCCGGAATAATATCTGAAGTGGATTTATGGGAACAGATTTTATAGTTTAAATGGCCATTGTGATTTTATATCACTGTTGTGACTAGCAACAATGAATTTTTTGCTAATATTTAGGAAAGTACCGCATTAATTACATGTTTGTGATTTTTATTATATTTACGTGGTTGTACCTTTAATAGATATTATATACGGCGTACTCGCAAATGAGAACATCTTTGCTGTTACGTCTGCTGCATATTTTAGATATCATTTATAGCGCGGTTGTATTGAGAAGGTAAAGTACTAATGATAAGCCACGCTGATCTTCGCATTTTGTTGTATTTTGTAGTCTCAAATGGCTTCAAACTGTTTATTTTGTATGAAAATAGCTGTATAATATTCACTCAATTTCGCAGAAGGGATTTAAGGCCTGTTTACACTATGACGATAACCGAGCAACGATACAACGCTAAAAAGTGATTGTTCAAATTGAAAATAAAATAAATAAGAGTTTCACACTAGCACGTTTCGATAACGATTTATTGTTACGATAATTTTTTTAATTTATTTTTTATTTATCAAATCAACCTGCTTTCACACGGAATCCGGATTTTCGGATTGGAAGGGCCTACCAAACCGATAATGGAGAAAATTATTGATTCAGTGTGTAAAGAGTAGGGACGCTGGCGTTCAGTGCATCGGAAACCCCGTCCGAATTTCAGTTCGGATCCGATCTTAATGCTTTGACGTGTTAAAATATTACAAAGTATTTTGGCCTTTTCTGAAGTCGATATTTATGTATAGCCTATGTAAAGCTGCATTAACACCGAATCCGAATTTTCGGATCGGAAGGCCTATCGAACCTATCAGCTTAAGCGATACTAAATAACTGTCATCAGTCGTTAAACTTTTTCATGTGGATCCGAATAGTATCCAGTTTACTCCCGATATTGTACGCGAATCTAATTACTATGACAACTCATTATTTTCATTTGATAATTCATATCCGTTGTCTTGGTAACCCGGTGCTTTACTTTATTGCGAACTGCAGTTAATTTATCAGATCCAATGCACTTCGGTATATATTAGTGTTAGTTTTGAGTGGATTTAACTTTCTTTTTATATTTTAGCCCTAATAATAATAATCGTCATTAATCTAGCGAAGTCTGCGTCCATGCTGTGTTATCTAATCAACCACGAGACTATGCTGTTGAATTGTTGCATTGTTGTATACAATTTTTTATGTTTTAAATGATTATGATGACGTTAGTGGAAGATGCTGTACACAGTTGGAGACAGCAGAAATAATAATTATCATAATATTATTCATAATTAAAATAAATATTCTTTTCCTAATTAACAGCCATATAGTATTTCCAGTGGCGGATCCAAAGATGTCCGTGGGCGGGGGTTAGGTTGGGTGCGATTGAGAAACAACACTACCCTATGGGTCTGGCGGCATGCCCCCGAGAAAATGTTGTTTTCTAGACGCCCGGAAATAACCTCTGAGGCGTTTTGGGCGATCAATAATTTCTTTTTCTTTCTTTCCTTTTGGGCCGACCCCAATCCCTTCCCTGATCTCTCGTCAAGCAGGGGCTAGTTTCCCCCGGGCATTTCCCCTGATATTTTGTCCCCCGGTTATTTTTCATTCCTTAAATAAAACAAGAAGTACATCAAGATGTACTTCATTTTTATTTAAGCTTAGGCCTAAGTATACAATAAATTTTTTTTTTCGACGATACCATAAATATATTCCGCCAGCGTATCGCTACCGTGTTGACCTGCAATTGTGATTGTTCAAATTGAAAATAAAAGAAATAAGAGTTTCACACTAGCACGTTTCGATAACGATTTATTGTTACGATAATTTTTTTTATTTATTTTTTATTTATCAAATCAACCTGCTTTCACACGGAATCCGGATTTTCGGATTGGAAGGGCCTACCAAACCGATAATGGAGAAAATTATTGATTCAGTTTGTAAAGAGTAGGGACGCTGGCGTTCAGTGCATCGGAAACCCCGTCCGAATTTCAGTTCGGATCCGATCTGAATGCTTTGACGTGTTAAAATATTACAAAGTATTTTGGCCTCTTCTGAAGTCGATATTTATGTATAGCTTATGTAAAGCTGCATTAACACCGAATCCGAGTTTTCGGATCGGAAGGCCTATCGAACCTATCAGCTTAAGCGATACTAAATAACTGTCATCAGTCGTTAAACTTTTTCATGTGGATCCGAATAGTATCCAGTTTACTCCCCCGATATTGTACGCGAATCTAATTACTATGACAACTCATTATTTTCATTTGATAATTCATATCCGTTGTCTTGGTAACTGATGCTTTACTTTATTGCGAACTGCAGTTAATTTATCAGATCCAATGCACTTCGGTATATATTAGTGTTAGTTTTGAGTGGATTTAACTTTCTTTTTATATTTTAGCCCTAATATTATAATAATAATCGTCATAAATCTAGCGAAGCGCATACGTGTTAATGTCTGCGTCCATGCTGTGTTATCTAATCAACCTCGAGACTATGCTGTTGAATTGTTGCGTTGTTGTATACAATTTTTTATGTTTTAAATGATTATGATGACGTTAGTGGAAGATGCTGTACACAGTTGGAGACAGCAGAAATAATAATCATCATAATATTATTCATAATTAAAATAAATATTCTTTTCCTAATTAACAGCCATATAGTATTTCCAGTGGCGGATCCAAAGATGTCCGAGGGCGGGGGTTAGGTTGGGTGCGATTGAGAAACAACACATTGCCCTATGGGTCTGGGGGAATGCCCCCGAGAAAATGTTGTTTTCTAGACGCCCGGAAATAACCTCTGAGGCGTTTTGGGCGATCAATAATTTCTTTTTCTTTCTTTCCTTTTGGGCCGACCCCAATTCCTTCCCTGATCTCTCGTCAAGCAGGGGCTAGTTTCCCCCGGGCATTTCCCCTGATATTTTGTTCCCCGGTTATTTTCCTTAAATTTTCCTTAAATAAAACAAGAAGTACATCAAGATCAAGATGTACTTCATTTTTATTTAATCTTAGGCCTAAGTATACAATAATTTTTTTTTTCGACGATACCGTACCATAAATATATTCCGCCAGCGTATCGCTACCGTGTTGACCTGCCATTTTTAAGTAATCACGAAGTATCCGTGTTGGTGGTGAAAGCTGCTGTGTATTAATATTTGTATTAATTTAAGAAAGGGCTATGCTTTACTGTTTATTTAGACCATGGAGGAATTAGTTTCCTCCGTGTTTAGACGCCGTCGACTTTCGGAATAAACATGAAGTCATAGTGCTTTTTTTATATTTATCTGTGTGTGATATAGTTTTATAATCATAATTGCTGTACCCGATAACAAAATATAGATATTTAGAAGCTTAATGAGTAATTGCGCCAATGTTTTTATTTAAAACCCATGAACCAACCGTCATCCATCCGTTTGCATCCAATAAAACTATTGTCACGCTCACGCATCACTGCTTCTTTAAACACTTGAGGGCGTAACTGCTTGGGCAAGCTTGAAACACTGTCCATGGCAGGTGATGAGTCAGCTAGGCTGTACCCATCATAAAATAAGCACACTACAACAGCCCTGTCACCTACGGTAACACCCTGGTATCAGCTACTCTTGAATTTACGTCTTATGCTTTCTTCATTATATAAGAGATTTCTACCAGCCGATATTTTACGGGATTTTATACGCGCTTTTTGACTTTTTTTTGATATAGTGGAAATGTGTATCGTCGCTAGGTGATAGGATTTATCATCAATTCTTATGACCAGGATATCGTGGCTTCTTAAAGCAATACTGTAGCTTCTGATCTAAAAAAATGGAGCAATATTTGATATTATTTTTACTTGTTTGCGTTTTAAATTTACGACACCACGTAGAGGCTGTCAATGGTAAATATGAATTTCCCCTTCTTTTTTTATTTATACCGATACATATTTTATAATATTATTGTGTGTAATAAGATTATAGATTCAAGTATAACGTATACAGTACCTAGATGTACATCCTATATATAAGCTACATGTTTAATAGGCATATTTGTATTTCTTTCGATTGTATATTCGATGAACACAATGTAAAACATTGTTGATACAGTACATAATATGTACGTCATCTTGGTAGACGTTGTTAAATGTAATATGTAAATGTATATATATATATATATATATATTCCATAAATTATATAATGTATATATGTCATATGTATATATGTCCATAAACTATATAATGTATATATGTCGTATATATATGTGTATATATAAGCCCATAAGTTATATAATGTATATATGTCAAATGTATGTATATATATATATAATATGTATATATAAAGCAGTGTATTATATATCTATATATATATATATATATATATATATATTATACTGCATTCTACAGTCTTGTTACAGTATGATTTCATAAGTGGGTGACAACATCAATCAATCAATCAATCACTCAATCTTTATTTTCCATCGTCAATAAAACAACAAATAAAGATGGAGGAAATACAAACAAAGACAAGGCCTGACAATGTGTTGTATCACCTTAACAAAAAGACAATCATAAGCAATATAGAATATTAAAAAACATTTAAAATATACAAAAATCAAAACAAATTACATCATATAATGGTTTATGAAAGATTCCAGTTTCGATTAACTTTAAACTGTCCTAATTCATGTTACAACTAATACCGTACTCAGTGGTTATGTTGATCCACGACCCTGATTTGAAGTAGCCTACAACATAATGGTTGTACATGTATTTAGACCAGTCTCATTTTTCCGCGATTGTATTTCGTTTGCGTCTTTTGTATTTTGTGCCCTTGAGTGATACAGTACAACGCCGTACCCCGATGGCCTAACAATTGATTCGAGTCGATGTATTGTTATTATTTTGGGTAGAATCATGTGGTATGAACACAACAGACACGCTTTGCAAGTCCTTGTCTGTGGGAATACCACCCGGTAATCGTCAGTTTTATTTTTTTTTGCGTGGGAAATCTCTACCTCAGTGAAAATTTGTTTTGATTCCCATTAATTCAATTTTAAGCCTATATTAAATTTCCAATTGTATATTTTATATAATTTAGACAATAAAAGTTTTTGAATTTGAATTTTGATAATTTATTAACGACAACGATTAGGATTTTGCGACTGAGAAATATCACCCCAACTACCAATGCGTATACAAGCCAGGATTTTCAAACAGTGCAAAAAAATATGAAAAAAAATGGCTCATTTTCTTAAATTTTACCCATTTAAAGCTAAATATGAGAAATCTGGACCCATTTTTCAAAAAAGTGGACCTATTTTATGAATAAAATTATATAATTTTGACCCATTTTTAAAAATGTTGACCCATTCCTTGTAGACCCATTAGAAAAATTGTGTGGGGAACTGTCGCAATAGCTGGCTACGGCATTGCCAACCTTTGGGATTCGAATCCGGGATCTGTGAAGACGCCTTAGCTAACTGGGCCATTGAGTCTTCATTGATTCATATTCTTGTGCATGTACCGGTATTATAGTTTAAAAGCACTAGTTCTCGGTGCACCGTAAATAACAGAGATCAATATGATGTCCACATTTTAAGAATTTGAACAAGACGCGTCCGAATATGTTTATACAGCACATTTTAATTATTATAATATATATATATATGTTGTTGTTTATTATTATTGTTATTATGATTGTTATTATCATTATTAATAACTGTCTCTTATACACAT